GGGCAGCTGAGCTGGGGGTCTCTGCCCCATTGCGGGGACTTCAAACATCTCCTGGAAGCCCAGGCTGCAGCGTGCCCCTGCAGAGCCTGCCCCACCAGCGCCGCACAGGGGGGCTCCAAGCTTGCGTCCCCAGCGCATTTAATGGGAAGGGTTCGGGAGTGCTGGCACCTGCAGGTGCTGGGTCACGAAACAGTGACTTTTCAGACAGGCTTTGCAAAAGAAATGAGGTGTTAGTTGATTATACAGAAAGCTCGAGGGATGCCAGGTTGCTTTCTCTGGTGCAAAAGGTGATCTTTGCTTGGGGCGGGCAGGGAGCCTGTGATGGAGCCAGCATTGCCCAACAGCTCCCGCGCTGCAGAGGCCCAAAACACTGGGCACCCCGCGTGCTCCGAGCTCGTGCTCGACCCCATGTCTGGTTTCTCATGCTCCTTCCTGCCCCATTGGCGCCCACAGGGTTCCCACACGGTCCTGACCCAGAGCTGGTTTCTCATGCTCCTTCCTACTCCATTGGTGCCCACGGGGTTCCCACACGGTCCTGACCCAGAGCTGCCATGGTGTGCCAACAGATGGCTGGGATGTGTGGTCTGGCTTGTCGCTCCCCCGTGGAAGCGCATGCGGCTCCGTGGGGAGCAGCCAGCGGGACGGGGGCATTTGTGTGCCTGAGGCTGCTGCTGGGTTTGCTCCCTGGCACCCTCCGTCAGCTCCAGTTGAAGGGAGCGGGGTGGAAACGCGTGTGCTTTCCTTGTGCCACTGCACACACTCTCTCCACACTCGCTAATAAATCCGTGCTGGTTTTTCCCGGAAGGTCACGGAACCAGTTTGTTGGAAGAGCAGAGGACGTTGCTGTGGGGCATTGCCGAGTGGTTTGGATTTTTGCCTTTTTTGTGTCGACCGGCCAGGAGGGCAGCTCTGGTGCTGCTTTAACTGCGGCTGAAAAGCTGCTGTTCCAGCGCGGTGGTGTTTGTCTCCAAAAGGAGGTGGTTTAGGTTTCACAAGCCCCACCTGACGGGAATTCGAGCAGGCGGTAAAACTAGGGCTTCTTGCGCCTTCCTTATCGGTGTGATCTGCTCCGCTGCAGCGGCCGTGGGGAGCGGGGGAGCCCGGTGCTGTGCTGGGGGCGGCGCGAGCCCCCGGGATCTGCTCCAGGCAGCCCCCACCTCCCAGGGCTGAGTCACCAGCGGGCTGAGTGCGTTTGCTGCTGGTGTGACGGCAGCTGTGAGACCCAAAAAAAACCCCGGCACTGATGCTTTTAATGACAGGCGAATAACACAGCCCCGAAGAAGATTCATGCCACGCATACCTCATGCGACGGTTATTAGTGGTGACTAAGACCATGCTGGGATGGAGCAGCGACAGCCTCCCCGCATCACCCGAGTCCTGGCGTAATTAATTCTGCAGGTACCCGTATCGGCACATTAACCCAAACTGGCCGTCTTCCTGCCCGTCCCCAGCCTTGTTCCATATTTAATCTTTCATGTTCACCTGAGTCTCTAATTAAGCCAACTGCAATCCTTAGCTGAGAGCCCGCAGTGTACTAACGAAGTCTGGTGTTCCCGGAGTGCTGTGCATGCGAGACCTGCGCAGCCGCCCGCCAAAAACAACCCCCAGGCTGACGTTTTTTCCCTCTTTCTTCTCTATTTTTTTCCTTTTTTTTTTTTTAACCTCCTGAACTAACACTGGGCCCAACGCAGGGCCTGAAGTGAGGGCCCGTTAGCAGCAAAGTTCTCAAAAACAGCATGTGGGGACTGTCTTATTTTTTTTTTTCTTCTTCCTTTTTTTTTACAGTGAAGTCATGACCAGTTAGTTTGAGGTATCTGAAAAGCGCTTTTATTGGGTTTCTTTTCACTGGCAGCAGCTGTGCAGACAGCCCGTGTCTGGGGGAGGC